AGGCTCACATTGTGCCATTCGTGATATATTTTGACCATCACTCCTGTCACAGCCGCCTCCCTCCGCAGAAGCGGGCCCCTCCCGCAATACCCAGCCCCAGGAGGTTTGCAGCCTCAGGGACATCTGGCAGCATCAGAGAACACTTAGAGCCCTGAGAGTCCAGCAGAGATTCTGCTTCATGAGCCTGAGCCTGCTTGACCCAATGATGGCCATTGGGGATTGTGAAGGGGTGGGGACTGGCTCCAGGTTTTACTTTGAACCAGTGCTGTTCACTATGCGGTTAGGAGAGTATGTGCTCTTGTTACTGCAGCAGGATTTGAAACTTACTTTCAATACCAAAGCTTCCCTAGATGCCTGTTTTCCCCCCAGCTCGCTTCCACGTGAGGGCATCATGTTGCCAGGGCTTCCATCAGGTCATGTCTTAGTACAGGTCTCTGCTTCCCAACTTTTGAATGAATGGATCTGCAGGTACCCCGGGGCTGTGAGCAGGGACAAGCCAGTCTTATCAGAGAGCCCAGGCAAGACTGGACACAGGCAGCACCCTGGGAGAACGTGCCCCGGAGCTCGGCTCCTCTGCTAGCAGGTGTGGTTGGTTGGATGGTCCAGGCACATCATCCCCCGGGCAGCACAGCTCATAAATGGTATTAAAACGTCGGCATGGCAGGACCTAGAGATACCACCAGACGACTACGAGAGGTGACTTATAGTTGGTGACGCTTTGAGCATCTGGGTGACAGTGGGCCAGGACACTCACATTGGCCTCCCAACAACCTATGCCGCAGGTCTGTTATCAATCACATTCTCCACATGAGGAAATTTCAGCACAGAGAGGTTAAGTAACTTGCCCAAGATTGCACAGCTGGTAGATGGCAGGCCAGGATGCAGGCATTGAAACCCCTGCTATGCAGTTTGTAGGGAGCTGAGGCTCATCGACATGGATTCAGAAGGCTTGTGTGATGCTGCATAAAGGGCAGAGGAGGGTCCCCCACCCCAGTCCCTTTCTGCTCTTTAAGACCAGAGCAGTCTGAGGCTCAGGGTCCAGGTTGAGGATCGTCCCCATCCCATAGGCCAGATAATGACTTTGAACAGCTCTGCCCAGGGTTGTGCCTGTTTCTGTGACCTTGAGGTCTTCAGAGGCCATTGCACAGAAACCACTGGCTGGTTTCCCGGTGAGGGGGCTGCCCCTCCAGGGACCCACCACTCCAGGGAATCCTGGAGTAAAACAAGACAAATAGGAGGGGCCCTTGGCGACGACCAGCCTTGCAGCTTATATTAGTGAGGAAGAATCAGGGGCCATGTCCAGGCTCCAAAGTGGGGAGCCTGCAAGCAGCCGGTACTTGCCTGGGCGCAGAGGAGGGAGGTACACCTGTTTCCTATTCCTAGTCCAGTCCTCCATTGTACAGGTGAGGAGTCTGAGGCACAGAGGAAGGATGAATGTGTCCAACATCATGCTGCTGATGAGAGCACCACAGTCCCAGCCAGGACTGGCCCCCTGCACCCTTCTAGTCGTGAAACTGTTCTAATAAAATAAGCAGATGGGCATGCCGGCACGCCCACCCTCTGTCAGCCACAGAGCCCTGTCCACAGCAGCAGAGCAAACCTGGGCCTGTGTGCAGGTGGAGGCCCCTCAGGTGACTCTGCTAGTAGGACACTAACAGGGCAAAATCCAGGGCCGCTTCCTGCCATTAGTGCTGCCCTCTGCACTGTCACAGGCAGAGGCCTCATCGTTGCATTGATGGGGCACCTGGTGTGTGCCTGGCCCAGGGAGAGACCCATCCTCAGGTAACCTGGAATCTGGATTAGCTGGAGAGGATCCCTCTGGATGTGCTGGAGGAATTCAGAGGAGGTCGCTATTGTTTTTTAAAATTGACTTATTTTGCCTGTGGACACAGACTCCAAGACTGTGCCTACAAGAGGAACGATTTGGTCAAACTACCTGTTTTGCCCACAAGGGACCAAACTCCTATTTGGCCTGATTTTCCCTCTCACCAGAGTTGGGCACAACCACCTCGGCACAGAGGCTGCCCTGAGGCAGTACACAGAGCAGGAGGCACTGCAGAGAGACCCATTCTCATCTCGTCATCCTGCAGCGGGAGTGGGGAGACCCCCCAGAGGAAGGGTGGGGCCCCACAGCACGCGGCAGAGCTGGGACTGCAGCCCCACCTCCCCTGTCCCGGCTCCTGTTCTCCGGAGCCTATTCTCCGGAGCATGCTGGACCCCGGAGGTGTCCGTCCCTGGTGGGCTCCTCTCCTCCCCTCCTCACCCTCCTTCCTTTGAACCAAGCTCTTAGCCCCAGCTCCCATTACCAGATATTTCAGAGGCTTCAGCCAGTCCTGGCCTCCCTGGAACCAGCCACTGCTGCCAGATCCCTCAGCTTGGGGGTCATTCAACTTCCTGACACCCACGATGTGGAAACTCCAAAAGAAATGTCTTTATTCTTTCAACTTTCTCAATATTTACAAAGAACAAGAAGAACAACAACTGAGATTGGCTCACACAGTGGGTGGCAGGTGAACAGATGTGTAACTCTGGCTTCTGGGGTGGCGGGAACGAAGGGCACCATCCCCCCACCCATGGTCAGCACAGGGACAGCGGGACGAGCTGCTGGCCCCTGGCCTGCTTGGGGAGGGGCCAACCAGGCCCAGCCCCACAGCTTCCAAGGCTGCAAGGCCGAAAGGTGACTGCCTGAGGAGCCCGGCCCCAGTCCTCCCACACACACACACAAAAGGAAGAGGCCACACCATGGACCAGCCACCTCCTCCCAGGAGAGCACCTTGGGGGCCTCCACACTCCTGCAGGCCAGAGGTGGGGGCTGAGGCCCTCTCAGCCCACCTAGAGGTAACCAAAGACATTGAAGACAGGGTGGGGGCACGGCCGGCTTGGTGGGGATGGGTTTCAGCACCATAGGCCTGCACACCTTCTGCCCCAGGCCGTCCGCGTCCTTGCAGAGGTACGCCAGCTCCCCGGGAAAGGCCGGGCTCTTCCTCCACAGGCCCAGGCTGGGGACAGGACTCTGAGGCAGGGCCCCCAGAGGGCCCGGGTAGATGGGCTGTCCATGGTACTGGAAGGGGCAGCAGCTCCAGGCGTTGACGCGGCCCACCAGGGAGACCCCCGGCATCTTGAGTGACTCCTTTTCAGCCAGGGCGCTTGGAGACATGGGCACTGAGGCAGTCTCAGGCCCCAGGGGCTCCAAGCCCTTGCAATTTTTCTTACCCTCATAGGGAGGTCCCTCCCTGGGGCCCAGTCCCCCCTCCAGCCCCACATGGTAGCTGTGGGTGGGCCTCGGCTCTTCCCAGAAGGAGGCAGGCAGCTGTCTTTTCCTCATGGGCACCTGGCCAGCCTGGGCAGCTTCTGGATGCTGCCCCTGGGGGAGCTGCTCCTTAGCAAGACATTCCTCCCTGCAGGGGTTCCTCAGCACCTTCTCCTTGCAGCCCCCACCCCCGCCGGGGCTGGATTCAGGGCCCAAATCGAGAAGCAGCCTCCCGGGCCGGTCCTCAGGCCCCCTTTTCAGGTAGGGCTCTGCAGCCCTGCCGGGAAGGCCCCGCGGGAGCCGGGAATACTTCTGGGAGAAGCGTTTGAGCTGCTTCTGCAGGTACTTGCGATGGTCCACGGAGCGTCGGCAGGGCGCAGACTTGTCCAGGGCTGCCTTGATGTCGCTGGACGCCAGGTTCACGAAGTTCAGCAGCATCTTCACATCACTGTCAGATGCCATCACCAGGGGGCCACCGCACAAAGCTTTCCATGAAGAGGGTGGGCTCTGCTGGTGGCTGGCAGCTCCGAGGAAGGACACCGAACTGACCTGGGGGACATAACAGGCCATTGGAGTCTCTCCAAGCAACCATACCCAGCCCTCCCAAAAGACCACAGCACCTGTCTGCAAATGGTGTCCCACCCCAGCACCCCTCAGTCCTAAACAGCGTCCTGGGTACAGGGCTGCGGGTGCAAGTGGCTGAGTGCTGTCTGCACACCTGGGAAGCCGCGGGCACTGGCACAGCCCCATCCAGCCTGCTTGGATCTGGTGCCTTCCTCTTGCAGCGAAGGTTCAGAAAGGTCAAGCAACTCGCCCAAGGTGACCCAGCTATAGGTGGCATTGCTGGGGCTGGCACACAAGTCCCTGCACTCCCAGCCTGCCCTGTTTCCCACACACCATGCTGCCAAGGTGTGCAACTTGCCAGTGAGGTGTTTATTCCCTGAGCTGAGACGACTGCTCCACTTTAAAGCAAGGCCAAGCCCCCTTGCTCCCTGATGGTAGCCTCCCCCTCCCACCGCTCCCGCCCCCAGCCCGAGGAGCACAGCCCCCCTCCTCAGTCCCCACGCTCCACCCCCAGCTCTCACGCAGGACCAGGCAGGACCCCTGTCTGGCACTTAATCGAGACCTGCCTTGCGGGCTGATCTCAGGCTGTGGGCAGTAGGGACTCCCCCGAAGAAGCATCTGCAGCAATTTCATGCCTCCTCCGCCGCCACCCACGCACCTCACCCCTCCCCCCGGCCCCAGCCTGCCCCACACCCGCCACCCAGTCGGGCCAGAGCCGCCGGGCATCCACACTGACCAAAGGTGCCGGCCGGGGCCCGACCAACGTAACCCGGCAGGTTCCCCGCTGCAGACCTGGGACAGGCCCCGGCACAGCCGGCCGAGCTCCGTCCGGCTGGAAGCAGTTGTGCAGCCCTTGAGTGGGCTGAATGGAGGACAACTCCCCAGAGCTGGGGGGCCCCTCAGGCCAATCAGGAGCGCCTCTCCAGATACAAAGCATCCCAATCAGGCGGCGGCGCCCCGTTCCCACATTCTTTGCCGTCACAAATTGTCACCATGGGGACCATCACAAAAAAGACAGCTCCCAAATGCAATCATTTCCCGGTAAATTTCTACCCTTCAGCCCCACTCTCCTCGGACTCCACGCCCCGCCTCCCCTTGACCTCGGTTCCCTAGTTTCTTAAGGGGGTGGGGGGTGTGTGTGTATTTAAAATGTCCAGGATGTAGAAGGGGTTGGGCCTGGTGGAGACTGGCTTGCAAACCTCCCCCCAAAGACTCCAGGCCTACAGCGGCCATGCTCCAGTGCAGACAGACAATCGGACTGGGTAAGCCGGGGCGGGCTGCTTTTCCCGCTGTCCTTGAGTGTTGAGTGGCTCTCTCACTCTCACTCCTCTCTCTCTGTCTCTGCGTCTCTCTCTCTCTCTCTCTCTCTCTCTCTCTCTCTCTCTCTCTCTTTCTCTCCCTCTGCCACCCCCCCCCCCCCTGCCAGGATCCCCCAGGGATCTGGCATGGAGGACCTTCAAGGTCGGGAGGTGCACTGATGCCTGTCGGAAAAGGTGGCCGAGGAAGGACTCTCTAACGAGGTGCTGGGATATCCATGGGAAGGGAGCTGGAGCTCTCAGGAATCTTGTCTTTATGTTTGCTTCCTCAATTGAGCTGCACAAAGCCTGAATTGCCCATTCAGCGCAGCCGGACAAAAGGTTGGCGTTGCACGGTCCCCTTGCATTTGTAGTCAAACAGTTAGGGACTTAAATCGAGTCGTCATGATGGAGAAAGAGGTGGACAAAGCCCATAGAATTGCCATCAGCAAACATTTTCCTGTGTCATATTAGCCAGTTTCCATGGCTCCCCCTGGCCTGTGGACAATGGCACAAGTTTGCACACTTGGCTACTGTCACCGTGCCAACGCCGGCAGGGCTGCAAGCAGGGCCGCTCTGAGAGAGCAAGGGAGCCCAGCGTCGGGGCTGGCCCTGCCCACTAACTGGCCAGAGGGAAGGTGAGGCTGAAGGCGAGGGCGGCTGCCTGGGAAAAGCTAATGGTCACGCCTCCGTGCCAGCCAGCTCACGGGCCCCTCTCACACCTCGTATCTTCGTGTCCATGCTCAGCCTCCTCTTCTCCCCTCCTCCTTCCCCTTCCTTTCCTCTTCCCCTTCTACTGCCTTCTCCTCATCAGCCAGATGGCTGGTGGCCTACATGCCAACCAACACCTCGGTACTACAACCTAAGATGCCAAGGACTCCTCTCTGGAGTCTCCCTGCCCAGACTGGGGGCACTGGCAGGGCAGGGCCAGGGCTTCCAACCAGGAGTGATGGCCCCACTCCTTCCCACTGGCCAATAGACAGCTGCTGTGGCCTGACTCCAAGCCATCTCCCCTTCCCCCAGCCTGAGGGTCCCTACAGGCAAAATGAAGAGTTTGGAGGAGATGGCCCAGTGCTGACAAGCTATAACTCAATTTAGGGCCTGAAAGCCAGCACTGTATTCTTCTTTCCCCTACCCTGCTGCAGGGTCGGGGAAGTGTGGACCGAGATGGAGGTGCTGCTGGACTGGAGACACTAGAGCAGGCGTCCCCAAACTTTTTACACAGGGGGCCAGTTCACTGTCCCTCAGACTGTTGGAGGGCCGCCACAGACTGTGCTCCTCTCACTGACCACCAATGAAAGAGGTGCCCCTTCCTGAAGTGCGGCGGAGGGTGGATAAATGGCCTCAGGGGGCCGCATGCGGCCCTCAGGCGGGCCGTAGTTTGGAGACACCTGCCTTCGATTGTCGGCCACTGCGTGCCCTGGGGGGTTGCTCCTACCTGCAGCAGCCTTTGCATGGGTGAGAGCCAAGCCTTCCTCATTTTGAGAGCCAGAGATGTGAGGGCTCTGTGTTACTGTAGCGCATCCTGGCCCACCCTGACTGGGACAGGCAGGAAACATTCTTTCTGCTCCAAAACGCCTGGCACACATGGCTGGAGAGAGTGCCCTGAGGGCCCGTGGCCATCAGGACCAGTCCCCTGCTGCCTATGGCATGAGGCCAGTGTGCACAGCCAAGAGTTCCAGCCTTTCCGGCAGCCGGCACCTGACCAGGTAACTGCCTGCTTCTCTGTGCTCTGCCCTTCCCCCTGGGCTTCTGTGCTCTGTGTGGCCTGCATCCTTCCTGTCTCCCGGAAGATCTCCTCTCTCCTAAGGGCAGCGAGATCTTTTAGAGCCACTCAGCTCGGCTTCCAGCTTCCTCAGGATCCCACGGCACTGCAGCCCTGCCCGCCCATTCCTAGCTGCCCGCCCGCGAAGCCGTCTGTCCATTCTTGCCAGTAGTGAGCCTCCCCACCAGGCTCGCTCCGTGGGAGGCGAGTTAATGTCTTATAAAACTCTTTCCATAGCTCTTAATGCAGACTGATCTTCCACCAAAAACTTTTTGAGAAGGAAGAAAGGAAGAAAGAGGGAAGAGAGAAAGGAAGGGGAGAGAAAAGTGGAAGAAAGTGGATGATTTGTGGACACCCAGCATGTGCCAAGAGCCACAAGAGCCGTATTTGACAACCACACGAAGACCTCACGGGGCCGCTCCGTGAGCGTGGTGGTGAGTTTGCCCCTGACAAATGAAGTGAGGTTGAGTTGCTTTCCCAAGACCGCACAGCATTAACCAGCAGAATTTGAACTTGAAGCCAAGCCCGTCTGTGTGCAAAGGCTGGGTTGGACCTGCCTCGCCACATGGCCTCATGGAGCACCAGACCCTGCCTAAGTGCTGCCGGCCGAGAAGACCAGATTTTCTCCAGGCGTCCTGCGTTCCACTCTTCTAGCCCAACGTTGGAACTTCCCAGCTCAGGAATACGGGGAGCTGCAGCTTTGGGAAGTCAGGATCGGGGAGAAGAGGCAGCTGTGGCTTGAGGCCAGGCCTCTGGATACCTCTGACCCACACAAGGGAAGGCTCCTCCATGTTTTTCTGATTGGCCAGGTGGAAAGACAGCAGTAATCATGCGAGTCATGAGACTCTCGAAGTGTTTGCTCATTATCCACCTGCGTCTGGGCGGGCAGGGGATTATTTCCCATTTACAGTTGGTGACGCCCCCACAGAAGCCTCAAACGTGATTCTTGGGCCCAACTCAGCCAATCCTGTCCTCTCAGCAATTCTTCAAGGCCCAGCTCAGACATCCCCTCCTCCAGGATGCCTTCCGCCAACTTCCAGCATTGTTAATAACACCCTCTCCCATGCCTGAGTGCTTGGAGCCAAAGATGAAGTTTAACCTCCCAAACACAGAAGGCCCTTTGTAATCTGATCCCTGCTACAGCCTGGCACAGAGTAGCTTCTTACTAAATGTTTATAAATTAAATACTTTGCCCATTCCACTGAGCAGGATTTTTCCTGTGAACTGTAAACAGCTGCTGCCTGTCTTTTTTGTTCGTTTGTTTGTTTGTTCGTTTATTGTTTACCCTACCCAGGTGAGCTCCAGGAGGGGAGGGAGCTCGTCCGCAGGTTTCTCTCTCTATCTCTGGCTCACTGCAACCTCTGCCTCCCAGGTTCAAGTGATTCTTCTGCCTCAGACTCCTGAGTAGCTGAGATTACAGACATGTGCCACCACGCCTGGCTAAATTTTGTATTTTTAGTAGAGAAGGGGTTTCATTATGTTGGCCTGGCTGGTCTCAAACTCCTGACCACAGGTGATCCACCTGCCTCAGCTTCCCAAAGTGCTGGGATGACAGCTGTGAGCCCAGCCTGAAAAAACTTCTCTTATGATCCTAGGACAGTCATCAAATGAAAGCAGTCCCTGGAGAAACTATCACCTGCCCCCAGAGGAGTTAACCTGACTGCCCAGGTTCACCCGTCGGCGGCCTAGCGTGTCACCTTGTGAGTTAAAATGCATTTGAATGTATTTGTTTTTGGTACGTGTTTGGTAATGTTTTAAATTGCCAAAAATACCTGTTAAAGGAGATTTTACATTTTCACACCTCTACAGGAAATTCAGTTCCAAAAGATGGGTCAGCTTCTCATTTTAGAGATGATGACAAAAGGCCCACAGAGGGACAGTGATTCACCCAAGGTGGCAGAGCCAGTCAGGAGGAGCGCCCAGGAGGGAGCCCGGGTCTGCCGACCCTACCATATTCATTCTCACACCTGATCATACGAGTGTAAAGTTCTAGTTGATGGAAGCAAGTGACATAGATTGTCCTTTGTTCTTCCCAGGTGCCATGATTACTCTCTTTAATGGATGAGGAAATTGAGGCACGAATGGGCTTGGAAACTTGCCGAAGTTCCCGCTGGCAGTAAATGACAACGCTGGGGTGGGGGTGTTCCTAAGATGCTGCTCCCACCGACAGCTGTGAACCAATGCGAGGGCCCATCTCCCACCCAGGGCTCGTGCTAGCCTGGAGCTGCAGACTCTCCCCAGCCACCCCTGCCCGGGAGGGAGAGAGAGGCCTGGCCAACCACACCACCAGCTCGGGAAACATACAAAGGCCATGCAGAGGACAGAGCAGCCCGGCAGTGCCTCTGTGGACGTGCGATGCAGACATCACAAGATGATTTATGTAACTTCTTACATAATGACAATATTTCTATCAAAAACCAGCCCGAGGCAGGCTGTCAGCCGTAATCAGAGCCGATGTGCTTCTTGCTTCCTGGGAGCAGGAGGCATCGAGTCAAAGCAAACCCCTGTGGCTGCCAGGCTAAGGGCTTCCTGACCTGCTGAACTCGCCTGGTGTGGCTGTGTCCTCAGAGGAGGCAGAGACCTGGTAATGCCCCAGAGGAGTCACAGCCCGGCTCAGCCAGCCCCATCACCCCTGGAGGCAGCCTACCTCCAGCAACAGAGACCACTGTCAGTGTGATCAAATACCACACTGGAAGAGGTTTCAACCACATTATTGTACCATTAGAGGGAGACTGGCTGTGGAGATGAGATCTTTGAACTCAGCCCCTACCTGGCTGTGTGATATTGAGGTAGTCACTCACCCTGTCTGGGCCTCAGTTTCCTGGTTGAATTACATCATCAATTCTTGACCTCCATGCTGAGCACATGGATATGGTGCTAGCATGCCACAAGTCAGTGCTACTTATACGTGGCAAATGATTTGCTTTTTCCTAATATAAATCAACGCTATTCAACCTCATCAAATCAGGTAAGACCATGTGCACTCCCCTGTGGATTCTTGAAAGGGATATGAATGAGTGGGGTTGAAGCTGATGAGTCTGAGGACTCAAGCCCCAAGAAAAGAGGACAGCCCAGCCCATCTTCACCATGTGAAGTCTCAAGAAGGGTGGGGTTCAGGCAAAGAGTTCTGTGTTGAATAACAGTGGTGCGAGCAGACCTCTGTGTCTTGTTCCTGATTTTAGGGGAAAAGCTTTCGGTCTTTCACCATGGGATGGGATGTAGCTGTGGGAATTTTGTAGATCCTCTTTATCAAGTTGAGGATACTTTCTTCTATTCCAATTTTCTGGCAGTTCTTGTCATGAATGGATGTTAAATTTTGTCAAATGAATTTTCTGCATCAATTTATATGATCATGTGGTATTTTCTTTAGCCTGTTTACAATTTTTATTATGCTAAGATATAACATCATAACATTTACTATTTTAGCCTGGCTTTCGTTTCCTTCCTTCCTTCCTTCCTTCCTTTCTTCCTTTATTCCCTCCTTCCTTCCATTCTTTCTGTTTCTTTTTTTTGAGACAAGGTCTTGCTCTGTCACTGCAGTACAGTAGAACAATTATGGCATCCCGCAGTGTCCTGACCTCCTGGACTCAAGCAATCCTCCCACCTCAGCCTCCAAAGTAGCTGGGACTACAGGTTCATGCCAACACATCCAGCTAATTTTTTAAAATTTTTTGGAGAAAGGAGATCTCACTATTTTTCCCAGGCTGGTCTTGAACTCCTGAGCTCAAACTGTCCTCCTGTCTTGGCCTCCCAAAGTGCTGGGATAATAGGCATGAGCCACCACACCTGGCTGCATTTTATTTCTGATATAGTAATCTATAGCTTATCTCTTTTTGTCAGTCTTGCTAGAAGCTTGTTAATTTCATTGATCTGTTTAAAGAACCGGTTCTTTTTTTATTTTTATTTTTCTATTTTCAGAGTCGTTGACTTCTGCTTTTATTTCCTTTCTTTTTCTTTCTTTGGGTTTATTTCACTTTTCTTTTCCCAAGGGAATGACTTTGATCATTGATTGAGAGCTTCCTTGTTTTCTAATGTAGGCCTCTTAGTGCTATAAAATTTCCTCTCAGCACTTCTTTGGCTGCATCTCACAAATTTTGATATGTCGTGCTTGCATTTTTGTTTGGCTCAGCATATTTTTGTTATTTTCTTTGAGATGTCCTCTTTGACAACAAGAAAAACCTATGTGGGTCTTTCTTGGCAACAAGAGGACCTATGTGGGACTTTTCTGTGGAATTGATAATGCTCAACAAGTGGTTCTAAGGCATTTAATGAACACCTACTATGTACAGGACATTGTCTGAGGTGCTGGGAATAGCAAAATGAATATGAAATCCATGCCAACAGTCTTGAAAATAGTTTACTGACCTCTTATTAAATGCTGAATAATGTTCCAAAAACTTCATGTGTATTAACACCTTCATAATGAGGTGGATATTGCTATTATGCCTACTTTACACATGAGGACAGTGAAGCACAGGTTGACTAAGTGACTTGCCCAAGACCCTACAGCCAAAAGGGGTGAAGCTGGAGTGCAGCCCAAGCCAATTACTGTGGTTTTATGATTAATCATCATGATCAGTAAGCTCCCAGCCTCCTATTCCTCACCCTTGAAGCAGAGCTAAGAGTGGTTCCCTGGCAGAGTTACTGATGAGGACTAAGACATCAGCCTTGAAAACCAAACAAACACGCCACCCGGTTCATAATCAGTGCCCTTCCCTCACCTCCCCGTCTCCCCTGGGCTGGATATAATTACTACCCAGGTGAAGCCATAAAGAAGGGCTAGTGGGACAAAAGTGACAGGGTAGTGGTGTCTGTGGCCTGCAGGACGTCCTAAATGGACCACCGCCCCACATTCGCACCTCTGCTCTGCACACTCCACCACCCCACACGTCCATCACCTTGACTCTGTCTTCCAGCACTGATAGGCCTCGTCACTCACCCAGGCACCGATCAGGAATGAAAAGTCTGTTTGATCTCAACCGTCACCTCTGGTTTGATTGGTGATGGCTGGCAGGTGCCCTGTGGAGAGATTCCGAGGGCTCAGCAGATAGAACGCTCTGATCAACTAGTGATGTCTTCCCTGACGGAGAATGGAGATGAAACCGGCTGTGTGCCACGTGTCCCTGGATCCAGTTCAGAAATACAGGGTGGAAAGCCAGGGATGTCAATACTTGGTGTTCTGGTGATCCAACTCTGCAATTTTAATCAAGCGATTGGAGCCCCTTGAGAAAAGCAGTGACTTATCCAAGCACATATTCCTATGAGGAAGATTCAAGTTTCCTACCTCCTAGGCCAGAATTCATCAGGTCCGTTCAATAGACATTTGTCACCAAGTTTCAACTCCAAGCCAGGCCCTGACTTAGGTATCTTAGATATCACTGACATAATAGATACCTTACACATCTCATAGTGTTTATTCTCACAACAACCTTCTGTGTTAGATCCCAGTATCATTCCCGTCTGGCAGATGAGGAAACTGGGAATCAGGTAGGCTAAAGAACTTAACAGCTAGTGAGAGGCAGAGCCAAAATTCAAATCCTTACTTCCTGATCCTGAACCTGGGATCTTTCTAACATGCTGCTTTGTTTCAAGAGTAAGAGGCAGCAGTGATGGCAACAGCCATAGCTGGAGTCAAGGCACCGAGACGGAGCGTGTTAGGCATTTCGGAGAGCAGAGACAGTGAGAAGTTCAGTCCAGTGAGGAGGAGAGGTCGCTGCAGGGTGAGGTGAGATAAGGTTAGGTAGAAAGGTTGAATCTCTCATGTATTTTTTGCGTGGAGTAGGCATGTAATACATGCTTAATGACTGAATGACTGACTGACTGAATGAATGAATGAATGAACAAACAAACCAGAACATGGAGTAAAATGGTTGGTTGGCTCCTGAGCCATTTGGGAGCTCCAACAGCCAGTCATAAAACAATCTGTAAACAGCAAGTCCATCCTCAGTGCCTGACTCCCACCCCTCTGGTCACATTGTCCCTCAGGTATGTTGCATAAACAGCATACCCTCATCATCAGAGAGGATCCCTTGCCTCCTGGGATGGGGGTCTCCAAAGGAAAGGTGATGGGGCAGGGGTCTAACTCCCATTGAATACTGCAATTCCCCAAGAGTTGGATATTTGCCATCTCATTTAATCCCCACTAAACAAATACATCAATGAGTCAAAAAACCTGAGATGGGTATTGTTCTCCCCATTTGACAGATTCAGAAACCGAGGATCAGGGAGAGAGAACTCTCTCCTAGTTACTGAGATAGGTGGCAGAGGAGCTGGGGTTTGGGCTCAGCCTGTGTCTACAGTACCCTTAGGGGAAGGTGGGGTCGGGGGTGCCCTCTTGCCTTTCAGATTCCCAGCCCCTACCCCTGCAACCTGGAGTACCTGTCCTACTTGAATCATAGAAGTCTCTTCATTGGCATCTATCATTTAGCTCCTGGCCTCTGATCACAGCTGTCTGTAACCCAAACCTAGTTCATACACACTTTTTCAAAATTTTCTGAATATGCTGTCATTCCTCAGGAAAGGGGCATTTGCATCATCAGCCAAAGGGCCATTCTCGCCTGCCTCGGCATTCCGTTCCCACGCTCCCTGACTCTGTCCTGGTGGGGCATGCTGGGACTATGAAGAGTTACTGCCATGAGTACTGCCACCCCCTTACCTCCACTGAGGTGAGCTCTCCTAGACTGACATTGGCCCCTTGGATGGCATTCCAGTGCCTGGCACATGGTAAACCTCCTGGAACATGTTTGTCACCCACAGAGGTAACACATACCTTAGGAGTCAGACAATTGCATTTTGCTCCTGCCTCCCTCATCTGGGCAGTGATTTCATCTGTGTGGGCCTCACACTTCTTATCTGATAAGCTTGGTGGAAACAGTGCCTAACTCCCTGGCTGGGGTCCCTTCCCAACAGGCTAAAGGATGAATTGGGCTTGTTTTAGCCCTGCTGATCTGGGGTGGAGGGGAGACTGGGAGGAAGAATGTAAGGCAAGAGAATAGGGTCTGGAGGCAGGGACCCTAGGGAGATTCACACTGACTTCCTAGGACTGAATCAAAAGGAAAACCCCATCTTTCCACACCCAAGTAACAAGGATCAGAGGCTGCTCCCTTAAACCCTACCCCTTTTTCCACTATGTTGCAGATGAAAAATGTAAAGTACCTCTGATCGATCACCTCCTGCCACCAGTCAGACTGGTCATTTATATAGGGTGTAACTCTATATAATCAATGGGAAACCTCCAGAGGGCACTTAAACCATAGAAGATTTGCAGCCAGCTCTCGAGCCACTTTCTCAAGCCTGCTTCTGCTCTATGGAGTGTACTTTCGTTTCAGCAAATCATTGCTTCATTCTGTCATTGCTTTGTTTGTGCATGTTGTCCAATGCTTTGTTCAAAATGCCAAGAATCTGGATGACTCGTAGTCAGGACCCTCCACCGGTAGCAAGCATGTAGACAGTAGATAAAGGAGAAGACAGGGATGTGTCAGACTTGGGCTCGAGGGCGCAGACCACTCCCAGGGTGAGAACTGTTGCTGATTTTTCAACAGATCTCAGCCAATCCTCCCCGGAGCAAGAAGCATGGCAGTGGATGTGGGTTCAAGTGTGTTCAGTGGAGCTTAGAGTTGGGTCTGTAGCCACATCCCCAGGGTGAGGGTGCCCGGATGAACCCTGACCAGGGCCTAGTCAAACAAGAGCCTCTTCTCTCCCCCTTCCCTGTTCCATTTCCAGAGATGCCTCTAACCTTATCCACTGGTCGTCCTTTCCCTTGCTGTTCCTCAGGCACCAGGCTCACTCCCACCCCAGGGAATTCTTCCTGGAATTCTCTTCCCCTAGCTCAGTGGTTGCACAGTTAGGCTCACCACCTGTTTATGTAAATAAAGTTTTATTGGAACACAGCCAGGCCACCCATTGACATACTGTCTACGCTGCTTTTGCCCTACCACAGGGGAGTTGAGGGTTGTGACTGGCCCCAGAGCACACATAAAGCTGCAAGTACTTACAGTCTGGTCCTTTATGGAAAAATATTGCCAGCTCCTGCCCTGGATATTTGCGTGGCTCACCCTCCCCCTCTTTTCCGTCTGAGCTCACTCACTAGTGCGGGCTTCCCACCCTCCATCC